TCCAGTCCCATGTGTATGAATTTATTTTTCCTTTCTGCGCTCTGCCAAGTAAGCTAGTCAATTATAGTTCATGTGTACTAGCTGCAATACCTTTTTGAAGCTGAGCAGGTAACTTTTTTCATCTCCCTAATATATGAACTTAGGTCAGTGTAAATTAAATGGAAGATCTGAGGTTTTGATATTGATTTTAATTTCTGTTTTGTTTTTATTGCTTTTGGGATGAAATGGTAATTTCAATACATTGGTTTTGTTCCATCCATATGATTCCTTGGACCCGGTTAAGGTGAGAAAGCAGGAGGATGGAATTGAGAAATATATCAGCCTGCACTGCCAGGGAGGGTAATGGAGGTTGGAAACCTTAGAACATTTAAAAAATATTTGGATGAGTACTTCAAATAACATAAGAATATGGGACAAGTGCAGGAAATTGAGATTAGTGCACCTCTAGTGGTAGTTATGTCAAAGGGCCTTTTCTGTGCTATATGAATCTGAGTCTAAATGAGTCAGTGATAGAATGGTGGAGCAGATTTGATGGACTGAATGGTCTAATTCTGCTCTTAAATCTTTAAGTCTTATGGTAATGGCTGGGAAATATCAGCCTTGTTTATCAGTCTTTCATTTGAGTCTTTTTCAAGACATTGAAGCCTTGACAATAAATGTTAAGCCATTTGAATCCAAATAATGTGAACAATTCTGTTTTATGTATCCTTGTAGCTCAGGATATTGGAAATGACGTATATGCAATAAAAAGTAGTCTTTTCTTACTTTCTTCCCACTTCAGCTTCTTTATGCCCTGCTCTTTTTAGCTCTCTCTAGGAATTCGGGATTTGGGGAGCAATGGGAAAGTAGCGTTAAGGCCACAGATCAACTGCAATCATATTGAATGGTGGAGCAGATTCAAGAGGCAGTATGATCTGCTCCTGCTTCTCACGTTCTTAAGGTTATAATACATTGCTAAATAATCGCTTCAGCTAATGAACAGACTTTATTCAAAGGAAGACCATGTCCAAGTAGGTGATTTTTTTTTTTCTGGTATGGGAATTGAACCTGTGCTGTTGGCATCACTTTGCATCACAAACTACGAAGGTCCCACCTTCTTAATCTCTCCCCTTGTGATGACCCTCGGGTTAAACCACCACCAGTCCTCACTCCCACTCCTTTAGGAAAGGAAACTTCCATCCTTACCCCGTCTGGCTTGACTCTTGGAGATGAACAATAAGTGATGCCCACATCCCATGAATGAATAAAAACAAATTAGCAATTTCACTTCCAGGCCACAAGGTGGCAATTTTGTCAAATAGAAAAATAAGGGTTGTTTCTGTAAAGTTAGGGCTCCGGTAACTTTACTGTCCATCTAACGTGTAGTATGTGACCTGGGAACATGTCTAACATTGGCACAAGATGTCATGATGAAAAGACTCCCATTCTTCAGGCATTGTTCTTGAAACTTTTTATTCATCCAAAAGCCTATAGCTGCGCTTGAACTGGTTTGATATTCTTGTATAAAAATGCAAATAATCTGAGCCCTTTCTTGTCCTGCAGATCTTGAGTACTGAGAATTCTTTTTAATAGATGTTTCAAGTGTATAAAGTATTGTCAGGGTAAATCAGTGGCATTCTGTAACCTGAGGAATTGAAGTTGAAGGTTCAGAATCTCTTCCAAAATATGGTTAGATAAGCAGATTTAAAACTTCAGAATAATTGAGACATTGTTACATATCAAATGTCATGATCTTCAGATAAAATTTCACTACTTTGAAACCACCTCCCTCATTTTTAGTGTTGAAATACAATGAAAACTGTTTAACCAATTATTTGTTGAACCAGATTTTCTGTGTGTAAATTGGCGTGGATGTCTACATTTCAAAACAAAGATTAAAATGTTTCCTAGAAGGTTTTGAGCTTATCTTCATCTTTATCTGAATCAAATAAAATGATTTTACTCCTTTAATGCTTCATCTCAAAAAATTAAACCTGTCCAGAATATGCTGGTTAAAACCTGCCATTGCTTCTCCCTTCCCTATCTCTGTAACCATCTCCAGCATTACATCTCTCCAAACATTGACATCCTCTAACTATGGCCTCCTACATTCCCCACCATTTTGGTGTCTTGCCTATAGCCACCTAAACCTGGAGTTCCTTTTCTCAGCCTCTTTGTACCTCCTTCTCTTTCTTCTTTTTTAAGATGCTCTTTAAAACCTACCTCTTTGATCAATCTTTAGTTATGTAACAACTCCTCCTTGGCTTTTGGCTGATTTTTATTTCTGAAACACCTTGGAACATTTACAGTGTTAAAGGTGTTTTATAAATACAAGTTATCGTATCTTGCACCCGAAAGAACTGTGTGATAAAATAAGTATAATGCTTTATCCTAATCTTTGCTTTCCATGTAATTGAATATTTCAAACTGATTTTAATAAAGACCTGTTTCACTTCATACTCCTTAATTCAACATCTTTGTGCTCACATCCTGCAAAAGAAAATGTTAAAATAACTTTTAGATTTTAAAGCTTGTCAATACTATGTAGTGTTGTGAATTAGTTACTTCAAGTCGGAGAATTTTGGATGTTTTGCAGTCCTGTGTGTTATAGTTACAGAACTAATACATTTCTCATCTACAGTGCTGTGTGCCAATTTCTCTTTCTGTCTCCTCTCAATCAGTGCAATCCTCTTCTTCAATCTATCCTGCTCAAATGTGGTATCTTAGTTCTTGTATGAAGTTCCTACACTTTCCTCTTTTCTATTCAGTTTTATGATTATTGTTTTTATCACTTTTATCATTTTCTTGAGAATTCCCCCTTGCCCTGATTTGTTAATTCCTACCACTATCTCCTGGTGCAATAACTTGGGCATGTTAGATATAAAATTAATAATGGTTGTACAATAACAGGACACGGGAGATGACTTGAATCCATGGGTGCATCTATAATTTTGTTCCCCAGTTGCTCCCATCAGGTCGTAGGGTCTAGACATTCAATGTCATCCACCTAAGGCTTAGGCCTGTCTCTGGAGTATACATGTCCTATGTACTCATGCCTCACCCTAATCCAGGATGAGGAGTTCAGTCAGTGATGGGATAAAATAGGAGAACTGGTTTATACATTGCATCAAGTTGTCTTTCTTGCTTTCCACAGCTTGCTTCTATATACTTCAACAGTTCTACCTTTTGCACCGTTGCTTGCATCTGTGGTTGTAAGCACATTGTAAATGGGGCATGATCGATTTGTTCCCATATCTCATCCCCTGCAATGTGGTATTACACTATCTCCCATAACCCATGTATGCAACAGGTATTGGCTGTTTTGCTCCTTACATAGCCTCTATTAAAGCCACATCTTGCCTCTTCTATTAGGTGTTATCAGATAAGCATTTTCTACTGAAAATGTTTCTACACTACATCTAAACTAGTAATTATATCTACCCCTGTTTCTAACCCATATGGTGGGACGTTGTGGTACCTCACATAATAAGCTTTTCTAATGAACCCAATATTGTCTACCTTATAAAACATCTTTAATGGCTGTTGTTTCTGGTATAACTGGGAATGCCAGAGCATGGCTGATCAACATGTCATCTATAATACATTCCCCTTCAGGTTTTTTATACATGTTTAACACTTGTATTCAGAGGTATCTCACCCTTATGAATTTGTCTCAGATCTTTCCCTCTGAGGATCCATGATCAATGGGTACTGAAGACATCATTCCTGATCACTTCATTTGAAAGATTTTCCTGCACCTTGATCAATATAATAATACATTATGCATCAGTTTCTAGTACTATGTTCAAACTCTGAATTACCCATTTCAGGTGTTGATCTGTACTCGCCTGTCTGTCCTGGATCTTTTGTCCCTTTTTCCAAGACTTCCTTCAGTTGAGACCCTTAAGTTTTTGAATCCGAGCCTTCTAGTCTACTGTAGCCAAATCAATTGAATTTACTGTTGAGGTCCTTGTGTTGAATGCTGAAGTGATATCGTTGACCAGACTAATTTTCAGTCAACCTTTTTTTCCTGGACTGGGAACCAGTCTCTACATTAAAATAAGTGGCCAGCGTTGTCACTTCTTTGACCAAAGCTGTATCAAATGCTTGAGTCCAACCCAAATACCACTAGGTAAACCGATATTGGAAATGCTTAGAACAACATGTACCATGAGCTGGTACCTATTATTGTGCATGATCTCATCATTGTTGATAAGCATAGGTCAGTTTCTTGATAACCTAAAACCTACACTAGTTAAATTCAGACATTTAATGAATTACCCAGTCTCTCCAAAGAGTCTGTTATTCATCAATTTGTCAAATGCCGGGGTGTCTGTTCTCCTCCTATTATGATGTGGAGGTGCCATTGTTGGAATGGGGTTGCCAAGGTCAGAAATCACATAACACCAGGTCACAGTCCAACAGGTTTATTTGAAAACAGTTTCTCGGAGCCTGAAGAAGGAGAGAGGCT